GCAGAGATTACATTATGTTTCCCCTGTAGATATTTCCAGCTCCCCAAATCATGGCACTGCATATTCAGAGCACCTCCAGAAGAAATATGATTTTCGCAATTCCCTGGTGGTCGCTGTTGGATCACATTGTTCCCATTTTCTCTTCCAAAATACAAAACTATGGTCTATTATTCACCTTTTCCATTAATTGAGGGATCTTTCTTTCGCTCTTTCTCTTTAGATCCAGAGTAACAACTCAGAAGCCTATTGCTTTATTTAGAATACTTATCCATATTAGCAAATATGTCACTTTTGCTTTGTGAGGCAAGAAATAGGGATATTTGCAAAAGCCCTTTTTTGAACACATCTTTTTGTTTCAAAACTGCTGTCATTGAAACAATAGTTTCAGCAACCATATCTCCCTAACACATTGTAAACTCTGCAGATGAATGAGGAAACTATCTTAAACTGCAGCCTCTTTTTCTTTGCTGATGACTCCTGATGAAGTGAGAGTTTTGTCAGTACGGAGTCGAAGCCCAGGACTCCACTAAACCCACATTTCTTCCTGCAACCAAACTGGCTCTTAGCATTTAAATTCCATCAGAATTTGGTAAGGGCCATAGTTCAATAGCAGAACATGTGCTTTGCATGCAAAAGGTCCCTGGTTCAATTTCAAACATCTCCAGGCAAAGAAATCCCCTGCACGGAAGCCTAGGAAGCTGCTACCAGTCTGTGTCGACAATACTGAGCTAGATGGGCCAACAGTGTGAGGCAGCTTCCTCATTTGCTTTTTTTTTTATAAGATATTTATTGAGATTTTTTGAAATATTGCAGTAAAAATGAAAAAAATGAAAAATACAAAATAAAAACAGTTAAAAACACACATATATTCCATTACTTATTTTCCTTTAGCTTGTTTCCCAGACCTCCTCATACCTCCCTTTTTTGTATTCCACTTCAATTTATTGGTTCAGCAAATCCTTACCATTAGATTTTAACCCATTTATAACCCTTTTTCATATTCTCTTAGAGCATTACAGCTGGAAACCGCTTAATTACTATCCAACATCATTCTATCATTCATTAATTTTACAATATTTCTGTAGATAGTCTTTAAATTTCTTCCAATCTTCTTCCACCGACTCTTCTCCCTGGTCTCGGATTCTGCCAGTCATTTCTGCCAATTCCATATAGTCCATCACCTTCATCTGCCATTCTTCCAAAGTGGGTAGATCTTGTGTCTTCCAATACTTTGCAATGAGTATTCTTGCTGCTGTTGTAGCATACATAAAAAAAATTCTGTCCTTCTTTAGCACTAATTGGCCGACAATGCCCAGAAGAAAGGCCTCTGGTTTCTTCAAGAAGGTATATTTAAATACCTTTTTCAGTTCATTATATATCATTTCCCAGAAAGCCTTAATCCTTGGGCACGTCCACCAAAGGTGAAAGAATGTACCTTCAGTTTCTTTACATTTCCAGCATTTATTATCGGGCAAATGATAGATTTTTGCAAGCTTGACTGGGGTCATGTACCACCTGTATATCATTTTCATAATATTCTCTCTTAGGGCATTACATGCCGTAAACTTCATACCTGTGGTCCATAATTGTTCCCAGTCAGCAAACATAATATTATGTCCAACATCTTGTGCCCATTTAATCATAGCAGATTTCACCGTTTCATCCTGAGTATTCCATTTCAACAGCAAGTTATACATTCTTGACAAATTCTTAGTTTTGGGTTCTAACAGTTCTGTTTCTAATTTTGATTTTTCCACCTGGAAGCCAATTTTCTTATCCAAATTATATGCCTCCATTATCTGATAATAATGAAGCCAATCTCTCACTTTGTTTTTTAATTTCTCAAAACTCTGCAATTTCAATTTGTCTCCATTTGCTAAGTGTATGTCCCAGATAATCTGCAGTCACAAATTTCCTCTTCGTTTTTTTTTTTATTATTATTCTTCGACTGAACTAATTTCCTCTTTCCTCCCAACAGCCTGCCCCTGCAGTACCACCACTGCATTTTTATAGGTAGGAGATTGGGAACTCAAGACATTCATACATGCTTGTGCATAACTGGATTCCTCTGTACAAATCAGCCACAGCTGAATGCATGCATACATACATCAACTTCAGCCGAGAGCCTTGTGGTTTGAGAGGATGTGGAATCTCTGTCTGTAATAGGTGAGCTGGAACAACTAATTCATGCATGTGGGGCACCACTTAATGCTGCAGTTATCTGGTAATGAACTGGTAGTGATGAAGTGGTTCCTTAACTTATAGTTGCTAAACATCTCCTTTGCCTGCCCGGCATACTAGCTAGGGAGGAAAAATGGCAGGAAACGTTGGCTTTTGCCCAATTCATTCTCTAGGTTCTGCGGTTATAGATTATAGGCACAGCTATAGATTACATTCTGCCTTAGAACCAGAAGTCTGCTATCTTGCTTGCCACAGAGGGTTCAGGTAGGAGCAGCTTTGCAGGGGCCCCAGATGGAGATGAAGCCTATCAGGTGTAGTGTGAAGAGGGCGTGTTAGTGTTGACATGCAGAGGGTCAGGAGGCCAGCTGGCTAGCCCCAGCCGGGCTATCTGCTTCCAGCCGTCCCACTGCGAAGACCATCGGCCTCTGCTCTGACATAAATCAGCGACCTGGGCTTCAGAGCCAGGGCACACTATCAGCAGAGAGAACTGCGCACACAATTTAGGCATGAGGCTTGTGGAAGCATACTACAACTACAGATTTATTAATCATAAATCAGGACAAAGAAACATGTCGTCTCTCTCGTCTTCTCAGAGAGAACGGGAAAAAGCAAAAACTATACACAATGGAAGTTCCCAGCAAGCTGTGCTGGAATGTAAACAGACATGTGACATGCAACAGTTCCACATGTCTGCTCCTTAAGGTGGAATGGAAATCTCAACAGTTAGTACACAGGCATGGAGTGGGGCTTGGCAGGTTACTTAAACTCACACTGTCCTTGACTGAGCCTCTTTGCCTGTTCACAATGTACTCCCATCCGGACACAGTGTAAGGGTTTGTCCACACTTCCTTTTATGTTGTGTTTCTAGGCATAGGTCCAGGATTTCCAGGTCCATGTCTGAGTGGTAGGTTTTTTCCCCCTTTGTCATGGTCCTTGGAGATGGACCTTGAAATCCCAGAGCTGTGCATAGAAAACACGGCACAAAATGAAGTCTTGATTAGCCCTAAGATCAGCTGGTTACATAAGGCCTGAGTATGATTTTCTTAATATAAATAATGCTTAAGTTTGTTTTTTTTTGGGGGGGGAGTATTTTGTTTTCCTTGCCTGTTCTGCACTGTGAACTATTGGGGTTTTGTCAGAAAGGGGCACATCTTTTAAATTGGTTGGTCTGAATTGGCAGGACTGTGCAACTATCTTTATACAGAAAGACATGGTTGTTATTATTATTATTATTATTATTATTAATCGCCTTCTTAGGCAACGTATAAACAAAAGCGGCAAACAACTGTTAAACACACAAAAACAGCAGATACATTTAAAACAAAACAAAATAGACACGCATGGTAAAGACTCATTTATCCAGTTGGGAAAGCTTTTTGGAACAAAAAATGTCTTCAATTCTTTTCAGAAAGTGTTGGTAGTACCTGCTGTACTCAACAAGAATGCTATTCCACAGAACAGGGGTAGCCACACTGAAAGCCCTACTCCACTTGGAGGCACTGTTATTATTATGGGAGGTTCCAAATACTTTGCACTGTGGGACCTGGAGTTTGAGTTACAGTTTCAGTTTCTCTTTAGGGTGAAATTTCCTTCCCTACCCAGAGCTGTAGGGCTCAGGGAAAGAGAGGTTGAGGAAGGCTTCCCTCAACACCTGAAAATATCTGTCCACTGAGAAAGAGAATGGGCACCTGACTACCCACAACTCAGTGCCAGGTTAGGCTCACCCCACCTTTAAGAAACTTTGAGTTTCAGTTAGATGCACAGTTCAGTAACCAGAACCTGCATAGTTTCAAGATCTTCTTAGTTTACTCAGTACCCTTGTGTCTCAACTCATGAGAATCTTTTTTTTCAAAACTGTCCTCTTCTAGTTGTTAGTATCCTATTCAGTCCCATCTTCACCTCTGTCAGTTCATTCCTCAGAAATCCATATACCATTGGATATCAATTAATGATTATCCTGCACTAGAGCTGAACCAAGCTCTGTCTGTTTTAGTGGTTCTCCCCTTATGTGGTTGCAATCATATGAAGAGGAGAGTGGGACCATGTTCAGCGCCTCTGGGCAATCCACATTTACTCCCCCCACAACATACACTACCTGCCATCCATGTTTTGGAGGGAATGCCTGTATTGGGGCTACAGAACACTGTTGATGCATCTAATCAAGTTATGGCAGAAATCACTATCTGTTTCTTTTCATGTCATACTTTCCTGCAGGTTTCCCATCCATCCTTGCACCCATATAAGTCTCATTCTTCCCCTACTGCAAGAGCTTGTCCCATCAAAAGCTCTCCTTAGTGGCGCAACAATAAAACTGCTAGCACCTTTGCAAAGTTAGGCAGGGTCTGGGGTAGTTTCAAATAGGTTGCGGGACTGTGTGTTGCAATTGCTGCATTGCGCGGGGTTGGACTAAATGATCCTCCACAGTTCTACAATTCATCATTCTATGATACTTTTCTGCCAGAGATCAGCCTTCTTTTACAAAGCAACATATGCCACCTAACTTAAACTTAAAGTTCTCACCTCATTTTTCCTCTATCAAAATGCACTTATAGCATCTTCTAATAAATATCAGGCAGTCCTGCCTCTCAGTTATGATGATCCTCACATTACATGCAAATACATATATTTAAGTTGGTGGCTGCTTCTGTTAAGTGAAAAGCAGATTCAGAAGGAGAACTGTGGGAGAGAAGTGCTTAACCATTCTCTCACCCACCATTTCCTCACGGACCCCCCCCCCCATTCATCTGAGTCTTTTCTGTTCTAACACCCACCCACCCATGGAACTACAAAGATCTGGAATCCCATAGAGGAGAAAGGAGCTTGGGAGGTGTTGCAGATACAGATGGCTTCGGTATTCCCTCCCCTCTTCCACTTCTCTGCTGAAACCCCTCTTTTACCTTTTGCCTCAACAGAAGGAAGATCCCTTGGGATGCAATCAATAAGGTAAAGAGAAGAAAAGATGCCCAAGACAGGCCCAGTCACACTACCTGTGTGTTGTGCTGGGAATCTGCAGTTTGCAGTGGCAAAAGAGACGAGCTGCCTCAGCACCTTGTGGAGCTATTACCCTTTTAAGATCACCTGCTTTGACCTCTCAAATAACCAGAGGCAGGAAGGCTTTACCCAATGACTCCTGTGTCATATTCAATCACTTGTGACTGAATTGGGGCATCTCGCTCTACATAGTATCCCATTATGACTGTAACAGTTCATATAATGGATAATACAAAGTATGTCTTATTTCCCAGGAGGTGGGTAGTGGAGTTAGCAGAAGATTCCAGTGCTCAGATGAGGATTTGGGTCATGTTTTAAGACTGAATGCTTATGTCACAGTTCACTTGCCCTTTGTAGTGTTCCCACCCACATATTTTTGTCAGATTTCATTTGTTTGTCTATTGTTATTATTCTTTTCTATTGTAACAGCTCATTATTGTAGTCCATTGCTGCAAAATGCCATTATTTTCACCTTATACCATCACAGAGCATTTAAACATGTCTCAATAAGTTAATTAACAAATGTATTTGCATCTCTTAAAGTATAGTCACAAATGCACTTTCAAATGCAAGCCATTGCTGCTGCTCCATAGAATCCTCGGGCACTAAGTCTCCATCTTGACTCATTTCCCCCCAATAAAATCACCAGAGTGTGATTTTATAAGTACTGAAGAAGCGCAACACTTACCTGGGTTGCTCTTGGAGGTGCGCACCGGCGTATAGTGATTTTTGGAGGATGTTCTGATTGGTGTGTTGTCTTTGGGGGAGGTATCTATAGCCGAGATAGTCTCTCTTTCACAGTGTGCTATGGGGATTGGTCCCTGCTGCCGGAGGATATCGGCCAGAGCCCTGCAAGGAAGGATGGAAGACAGTGCAAAGTGTTCACAACTCAAGATGAACGTAAGAGAACTTGTCTCTATGTAATACAATGCAATTTATTTTATTTTTTTAAAAAAGAATATACTGTGGGCCTTACATTTTCTTTCTTGTGTGTGTGAATGTATTCTTTTGTATAAACACTAGATGTAATGGAGATATGAGAGGAGAAAGAAAAACAAATAGAGAAAGAGAGAGCAGAAGCAGGATGGTGTCAAAGTTCCGAGCAGGACTCTCTGTGTTGGTGGTTGCCCATTCACTTGAAGCACTGTCTATGGGTCAAGATTGGAATGCATAGACAGGAGCCAGAATATCGTAAGTAAAAGCCACAGTACAACTTTCTAACACATATAATGTATGTCAGCTGTTTGAACTTTATGCCATTTGTACTCCTGCATTGTATGTATTCTTGCTAGAAAAAACATGCATACACACACACAGTAGCAGCTGATTTGATGGGACACAGCCAAGGAAACCCACTCCCAGCACTAGTCACTACAGATGCTGCTGCGGCAAGATCAGGGCTGTGTTAGTGCACTTTCAGAGATAATCAGGTGTTCATGCTGCTGCCTCCACACAGCCCCAACCTTGCCCCACCTCATCTTCCTCCAGGTAAGGTGCTGGTGTCAAGAAAGCAGCTCCATAGCTCTGCTCAACCACAATGGCTGCTACTGCACACACACACACACACACACACACACTCACACACTCACAATGCTTTATGTTACAATATATATTTTTAAAGCCTCTGCTGACACATTTGAACCTGGCCCAATCATCTGTAATTTGCCACACACAGTATATTCTTTACAAAAGGAAAAGGAGGTGGCATACCTTTGTTGCAGAGCACAAACTCTGCATGGAAAAGTTCTCTGTTTCAATCCCTGGTGTTTCCAGGTGTGGTTTCACAAGGCATCAGTTTGACAGCTGCTGCTACTCTATATCAATCAGCCTTCTCCAACCTGGTGCTATCCAGATTTGTTGAACCCCAACTCTCATCAGTCCTAGCCAGCATGGGTCAGGAATGGTGTGAGTTGCAACCCAGAGAAGAAAAAACAACTCTGGAGGCAACTGGGTTTCAAAAGGCTGGTGTTATCCATACCAAGCTAGAATTCAAATAAGGTGGCTTCAAATCACAATGTTAGTTATGTGAAAATCTCAGTTGCATCTCCTTCTCTCTCTCCTAGGTGTGCCTTTTGAAGAAATATCCCTGTGGGATATGAACCATGGCTCCTTCCAGGTAGCATTAATGGTTTTCAAAGTGTTTCCCAAGGTTCCCATTCCATAAGGGGGCTGAATCTATAACTATAAATAGTATAGTTAGTATCTATAACTATAATTAGAAGTGAAATATGCAACACCAGATCTTTAAGCTTATTCATTCTCTCCAGGTGAGGTAAAGGTCCCAGATTTATAGAATTATTTACCTGTTTATGCACCACTGATGCTGCTATTCAGGTTATTAAGCAAGCTTTAAAACCATCTTGCATATTCTTGATTGTTTTAGGATGATGTTATGGAGTGTATTTCTTACACCTTTAATCTTGGCTGTAATTAGCTTTTATCTGCTGTCAATTTATGGTATTTTAAATCATTGTTGGATTTTGTTCTACTTATTTTCCATGAATTGTTTTATAAATTGTAGGCTACCTTGTGAGGGTTTTTATTCTGAAAAGCATCTTAAAATCCTCCATTAAATGAATAATACCTTGGGCACAATCCACTAGACCTGTAGTATGAATCCCTCTGAAATGGAGTTGCACAAGAGCTATATTGCAATACATCACTTCTTCCATTGCAGAAGCTTGCTAAGAAAGCAAATTAAGTAGAACACATGAATTTAAATTTCTGTGCAGCAAGCTTTCAAACAGAGTGATTCTTTAGATCTCATTTTGATTTGCAAATGGGATAGTTCCTATTGGGTTTCCGATCCCATTGTTTCTTTTTTTACACAGATAAAACAGTGTCCAAACTCTTTGCTCCAGCTGACATGAAAACCTTTCTGAAAAAGATACAGAATGGCAAAAGGAGGAAGGGAGTGTGGGGGGGCAAGACAGGAACAAGAAATTAGGTGGTGAAAAGGGTAAGAACACTGGGTTTTTAAAAAATGCATTATATATATCTATTTAATTGTTGATTAAAAAAAAAATAGTAACAGTTGTTCCGCTTTTCAGAAGATGCTGATTTTCATGAAAAGTTCTGGAGTAACTAACAAACACAACCCCATTAGGGACCTGGATTATGATGAACAAGATATCCAGGTTCCTTGTGAAAAGTACATCTGCATTCAGTGCTGCAGCACTAAAAAAAAATACATCAAGACTCTTCCCACAGTGAGATGCTTTTGTGGATGTTTGAATGATATTTCATCTGTGAGAATTTTAGACTCCGCAGAACAGGAGTGGAAGGAAACACATGGGTTGCTTTCTTTGTGTAGCCAAGATCTACAAAGACTCTTCCATGACATGGAGAGGGCAAGAGAGTTTGGCTTGGAAGCAGTAGGAGAGGCTTTAATGCTCATACAATGTAATAGGCTCTGTTCTCTCTAGTGGGGAAACAGGCCTAGAGTCAATCTGTTACCAATGCAAGGATGGGAAACAATGGGATTCCTTAATGCATTATTGTTGAAGCCTGCAAGTTGTACGAGAAACAGCTCATTTATATCAGGGCTGGTATTCCTTTGGATCTTCAGCTGCTTCAGGACTCAAACAGCTTTCAGCTCCAGCCTGCATGGCCAATGGTCAAGGATTATGGGAGCTGTAGTCCAGCAACTTCTAGAGTGGAACATGTTAGCCACCCCTTTTTCTTTTTCAATCCCTCTTAGACAGGTTCAAGATTACGAATCACTCTTTTCCTCGGGCACCAGCCCCATGCACAATCAGCAACAAATAACAAGAGTAGTGCCAAAAATTTCCTTCAACTTTTTCAAAGCATTGAGTTCACTGATGGCCTTGAAGGAAAAGACAGCTTAATGTCTCCTTTTTTTACAGTTATAATTCTATAATGATAAGATATGGCAGTAGGGTGGTGTCCTATGGCGCTGGGACTTGTCCACAGCAGGACAGAGAGATGAGAGTGAATTGCAAGCATCAGTTCTCTTGGTTGCATGAAGTCTATAAATCAAAATCTGCACCACAGTAACCCAAATTCTGTGCACTGGTTCATATCAAAACCACACATCTGTGGCATCAAATTCCTGAGAATGGACAGAAATACTATAACTGAGCAGAACACAAAAGAACAAGCTTTCTGTTACCAAAGAACGCATCCCTTGTATTGAGGGATGCATTGCCAGTCAGCATCTCTTCTTCAGATACGTATAAATTTGGGTGCAAGAGCATGGCAGAGACTCCAGAGAAGACAAGCTATGATGGATACTACCCCACAAATATGCAGTTTGGAAGTGCAGGCTAACCAGTGGGAAATGATGAGAGCCAAGAAGGAGATGCAGTCTTGAGGAGAAGCTGATAAGAGGGGAAGCACTATGGCTTAGTGGTAGAAGGCAGACTTTGCTCCTGCCTAACTATCCTTTTAAAGTTCATTGGGAGTATCAATAAGCATGTGGATAGGGACTTGGACTTAAAAAAACAAACAACAACCCAGAGTCCATCAAAAGATCCAAGTAAGCTTAGTAGTTACGAGATATTTATCTCTATATGTATGTATTTCTAAATGTATTTTACATTAAAACATTTTTAACGCAGTTTGGAATGTTTGAGATGAGAACTGTCACAAAATCTTGAAATGTGTGAAATCTGAAGGTTTTGCCTAATTGGGACAAGTGCTTTTATATGGACCAGTGCTGGTTTTTAAATTATCTGAAGTTGGAGGTGAGCAGTGATGTGGCTGACACCAAATTGCTCAGGGTGGGATAAAAGGAACCCCCAAATGATTTCTTCAAACTGGGTGAATGGGCATTAAAATGGCAAATGTGATTCAACGTAAGCGTGTGTAAAGTTATGCACCCTGGAGCAAAGAAGTCTTAACTTCACATATAAACTACTGGTGTCTGAAGTCGCAATGGCTGCTCAGGAAGGAGATGTGGGCGTTGGGGTAAATGCTCACCCATGTTGTGTCATGCCTAGCCCTGACCTGGTACCAGGCACAGAATCCTCCAAGGACAAGTGGGACCTTGAGGAGCAGACAGCCAAGGACCTTGAGGAGCCCCACAAGCAAAGGACCTTGAGGAGCAGACAGCACCTTTTGTAGAGTAGTGTAATGTAAAGCATTTTTTCTTGTGAAACTTTCCCATAGATGTTAGAAACAAACAGAGGAAAAAACAAATTGTGTCCCAAAATGCAGGATTCTTTTTTTAAAAAACCCCCTGAAATGAATGCTGTAGAACCTGAAGGCAAATTGAGAGTTACATCCCACACCTGCACCATGCTGAGCTGCATCATATATTTATTTATAAGTGCACATATTTGATAAGACACACTTTCCAGAAGGGGAAAGGTTTAATTAGAAATATCCCCATGAGATGTTAGAATCGCAGGGCCAAACTGCACGTGACATGTAGTTGTGTGCCTCTTTCCCCTAGTGGTTTGTGTGGTGGTTGTTTTTTTAAATGAAAAGCAGCCTCAGGCAGATGTAAGCAGAGCAGAGGAATGGATTAGGGAAAGGACTGCTTAACCCTTTCACTTCCTTCCACTTTTCTACTCAACGTCACCCCCAATCTGCTTTCCAAATGGTGAAGGAAAAGATGGGGGCTGTATCTTCTCCTTAATGGAAGAAAAATAATTAAGAGGGTTCCTATGAAACAAATAAATGGCAGGAAGGGAAAGGGCTAAGTATCCCCTTTCCTCTTGCTATTCCATTCCCAAAGCTGCTTTCCTTTTCTTTTAGGGAATCATTGAGGGCCAAGGCCAGGCAACTGCAAGTCAGGTTTAGACCAGATCTTTAAAATCAACAACCCTGAGGACTAGATGGGTCCACCAGAAGAACAGAGTTGGAAGGGATCCCCAGGTGTCATCTAGCCCAACACCTACAATGCAGGAATTACAGTCAATAAACCATCAGTATGTGGACGATACCCAACTCTACCTCTCTTTCAAATCGGAACCAGTGAAGGCGGTGAAGGGCCTGTGTGAGTGTCTGGAGGAGGTTGGAGGATGGATGATGGCTAACAGATTGAGGCTGAATCCTGACAAGACAGAAGTACTGTTTTTGGGGGACAGGAGGCGGGCAGGTATGGAGGACTCCCTGGTCCTGAATGGGGTAACTGTGCCCCTGAAGGACCAGGTGCACAGCCTGGGAGTCATTCTGGACTCACAGCTGTCCATGGAGACACAGGTCAATTCTGTGTCCAGGGCAGCTGTTTATCAGCTCCATCTGGTACACAGGCTGAGACCCTATCTGCCTGCAGACTGTCTCGCCAGAGTGGTGCATGCTCTAGTTATCTCTCGCTTGGACTACTGCAGTGCCCTCTATGTGGGGCTACCTTTGAAGGTGACCCAGAAACTACAACTAATCCAGAATGCGGCAGCTAGACTGGTGACTGGGAGAGGCCACCGAGACCATATAACACCGGTCTTTAAAGACCTACACTGGCTCCCAGTACATTTCTGAGCACAATTCAAAGTGTTGGCGCTGACCTTTAAAGCCCTAAATGGCCTCGGTCCAGTATACCTGAAGGAGCGTCTCCACCCCCATTGTTCTGTCCGGACACTGAGGTCCAGCACCGAGGGCCTTCTGGCGGTTCCCTCGCTATGAGAAGCCAAGTTACAGGAAACCAGGCAGAGGCCCTTCTTGGTAGTGGCACCTGCCCTGTGGAACGCCCTCCCACCAGATGTCAAAGAGAAAAATAACTACCAAACTTTTAGAAGACATCTGAAGGCAGCCCTGTTTAGGGAAGCTTTTAATGTTTAATAGGTTATTGTATTTTAGTGTTCTGTTGGAAGCCACCCAGAGTGGCTGGGGAAACCCAGCCAGATGGGCAGGGAATAAATAAATTATTATTGTTGTTGTTGTTGTTGTTGTTGTTGTTGTTGTTATTATTCATCAGTACCAGAAGTGTGGTCATGCAGAATGACCCTACGCATGTTTATATGGAAGTAATTTCACTGTGTTCAGTCAGGCTTTCCCACGCGTAAGTGTGCATTGGATTGCAGCCTTAGAGAATTTCTAGATGACTATCTATTTTTAACAGAATGAACACATGATCGTTTCCCATCGGTGGTGCACAGTCCAGCCTCACTTTCTTATCCGTGTTGCACTTCTGTTGCAGGGACGTATCCCTTCCTTTTATCAGTTGTGATTGCTGTGTGGAATATATTCATGAAAGTAGTCATAGGCACCTGTTTGGCATTGCCTGTGTTATAAAATGTGCCAATGACACAACTCACTGCTTCCCTATGATTGCCAATTTGTGTCTCTTCAGAAGTTTTAGATGACAATTTTAGTCTGAGCACTCCCTTGCTCTACCACTCCAGCACACAAGCTCTTAACTAGTCTTTAAAACAATCATCATCCTTGGCAATGGTTCCTTTCCCCCTATATCAATACCCCACTGTTTGTGGAGTTTATGTGAGCGTCTTCTATTTAATTAACAATGGTGTACTTCTCCTCTCCAAATTTGGAGTACTCTTCTATCCTGATTTATTTTTGGAAGGAGTGAAGAGCAATATGCCTATCCTTCACAACAAAATCATCACCACAGCCATTCTTCATGGACTGTATACCATACCATACCATACCATACCATACCATACCATACCCTTGACTTTGATTGGGGCTTGTGGGACTATCTTACAAAAGCTAAAATATGATTGGGGCATGTCTTCACTGGTTGCTTGAGTAAATCCTCAACACGGCATGCCCAGTCTTTGGGTGTATGGCATGACTAATTCCCAAGTAGACTAACAATGGGATGAAGAAGTACCTGAGGAGCAATATAAAATTATTGGCAGTTGCCATGATGCAAAAAAGAAAAAGGACATGGGCTGAAGTGCACACTACAGAATTGCCATTGGAATGCAACAAATTTATGGAATCTGGTGATTCCTTATGACTTTTGTTGTTCCCATCAAGTTGGTATTATAATGGTATTCTTGGGAATAAGGCCTTCAGTCTTGGCTGAGAATTAAAAGTTAGGTTGCAGAAGTGATCCACTGAGGAGCTGAACCAGAGGATCTAAACTACTGGCAAGAGGATCCTAGCTGGTAAAGGCAGAGCAGCAGTGGCATGTGGCAAATCACAGCATTTGGTTCCATCCCATATTGTCTTTCTGGATAGCCTGTTTGCATTCACCAAGAATAACTATCACAAAGGGAATACTAATGCATAGCATCACTAAGAAGGAAGGCACTTCTCTTGCTTACTGTCTGTCCACAAAGTAGAATCCTATGGTCTGACATCCAAACCCTCACATTTTCTCCCTCTCTGTGCCTGTGTTGAGAAAGCTATGCATCAGGAGCTGGTTTTCACATGAAGCACAATACTATTACAGGAGAAATAGAACAATTTACTAACCACTGCTGTAAACAAGATAAACATCACTTAGCGCTAAGCAAAAAAAGGGGAGGAAAGCTCGTTTTTGCACCCTTCTTCTGAAATAATAGTATGTTAGTCTGTTTATGGAATAAAAGGAAAGGAAAGGAAGTGATGATTGGGGAGATGAGCTGCCTAACCAAAGGTGACAGATAGTAAAGGGGGAGAGTGAAGAGCCTAATTCAGGAAAAGAACATTTGATTATTGAAATACTTTCCCTGTAATACTCGTTTTTCTGCTGCACCGTCCAACTTTAGATTACACAAGTGGAGCTACAGCTGCAGTCTACATTTTGTTTTGGTATCTGAACTGAAGGCAGTGAGGCTGTCCCAAGCAGCTTGGGGAGCACAGCACCTGTGTCAGCAGAATTCCATATTTATGAAGAAAACCATGGTTCGGGCTTGCTCAGCCATAGGAATGACCTATCAAACTGCATGTGCTCATTCTGTAGCCCAGCCAATAAGAAATGCTCTCTTTATGCCACTTCCTTCCTCACTTTGTATCGTTTGGCATTAAGACAGAACAACAAATGCAAACCCAACGCGTGATGATTAGTTGCTTTCTAATTAAATCACAATGATGTTTGTGAGCAACTTCCAACACACACACACCCTGCCACCAATAACCTTAAGTAAGAGAAGCAAACTCCTCCCTGGTATGACATCATGCACGCTTGATGGATATGTCTATTGTACCACACACGCAACACGCAACATTTCAGCTGATTGCTTCCCAACTGCAGGAGAGAGCAGTGGGAATGAGAACCAAATATGAGGGGCTTGATCTTGCCAACCTCATCTCAACAGGAGCCAAAGGCAGCCTACTTACTTGCGTAAGCGCTGCAGGCTTGAGCTATGACACAACTGAAAGGCATTTTGTGCCAATAATACATCTTAGATCAGAAAAACAAATCTTGCCTAAGAGGATGCTTCACCTATCTGAGCAGATGGGAGAGCCAGGCTGGCGTAGAGGCACATTCATCTCTTCAGATAATAGCTCATCATGACACATCCAATTTTGAGCGAGATCCTCAGGAGCTGAATTCTAATGCTGGGGTGCAAGATAACTATGTTGACTTAAGT